GGAGTTGAACTTGTGTGGCCACCGTTGAAGGTGCCACGTTACTACCAGCTGAGCAACGGTGGCACAACTTGCGCCACCGACCGATGTCATAACGATAGTGACGTATTGTGTGAACACAGATCACTGTACACAGTCACGTAAAAATGCATACTCGCGCGTTGAAAATAGCCCTGAAGTCTTCCTTGTCTGCCCTTCAATTTTTATACCATTCATTTTTTTAAAATGAAAGATTTTGAATTTTTTTCCGTTTTAAATTGTTGTAAAACTGAACTGAAGTTCTCGAGCCAATCATTATCCACCCCCGGCCGCAGTTTTATAATTCCGATCAATTTTCCTATTTTTGTACTAAATGAAACAGCAAAAAGTCCCATCTTATTCGTTTTTCTTTTAATTTGAGATCAATTGTCCCGATTTGTTCTAAATGAAACATAGGAAAAGTTTAATATATTATTTTCATAGGTTCTAGCAGTTTTCACCGTTTTCACCGTTTTCTTTTCCCCTTCTATTACACCCCATTCATTTTTCCCTCTGCATATTCGTATTTCCCGCACGCTCTCTGTTTCCTTGCGCTTCTCTGCATCTCTGCACTCTCTTTCTAATACGCACTTTCTCGTAGACAAACTGACCCGAAAAATGTGGCCGTTGGTCAATTGTCCGACCCCCCCCCCCTTCTTCTCTCTCCGTCCTACCTTTTTGATGGTCTTCAACATTTGTAAAAAGAGCCCCTATCTTTTAACTTTAAGCCGTTTTATTTTTATTCCTGTAAAAGCTATTAAAAATTGTCAACTGATTAATTGTTAATCAAATTGTTTCAAACATTTTATCAGTTAACATATTTCCAATACCTTGAACAGAAGCCCAGAAAAATTGTCTTAAACTTTACAGTTTGGTGGCCTTTCTATTCCATGTTTCAAAATAAGGTTTTTTTCAGATGATCGCCAGTAAAAACGCCCAAAAACCCTCAAAATCTCCACAAGAAGTACCACCAGTGACGGATGAGGAATACTACAAGACCAATGTCAAATTCAAGACAGAGCATGTGAAAATACTGGAGGAAGTCTTTTCAGTCAACAGATATCTGTCTGCGGAGAGAGTTAACCAACTTGCAAAAGATTTCTATTGTGAACCAACTAAGGTTAGTCGGAAGCATTGAGGTTCTAAAACGTCGTGAAAGCATGATGTACCCTTGAACACTTTCGAACATTACTAAAATCTCTTTTTTTCAGTTAAGAAATTGGTTCTCACATCGCCGCCAGGCAGTAAAGGCGGATCCACAAACTCCGCCAGACGAAATATTAACCAAAATCTATGAAAGCGATAATTCCTTTATGGAATATGGGAATAAGGAGCTCCTTGAGAAAACGAAGTGGTCAGAGGAGAAGGTTAATGACATTTTTGTTTTTTCCACACAATTTCTTTTTTTCAGATCGGCAACTGGTTTACTCAACGACGACTTCAGAATGGACCACTCAAGGAAACCGTAATAGAGCCGGTTCTAGAGAGCTTGTTCTTGAAACAGCAATTCCTAGGAAAACAAGAAGAAAATGAGCTGGAAAAGACAACTGGGATCAGTTGGTTCATTGTGAGTAAATATATTTTAAGCTTTAAAACTTTTTGAAAGATTTCAGATGCATCCATGGTTCAAAAAGAAGCGTCAAGAAGTCATTCGACAGCATCTAGGCGGTTCGATAGCCAACTTGCCCACTGAAATGATGATGCTGAAAGCTCATTATCGACAAAGCGACACTTTTGATCTGGCACTGAGAAGGAAGATTGCAGCAGAAATGGACTTTCATGATGAAGATGTAAGTTTTGAGTTGAAAATCTATCTAGGAAATCTCATTTCTTGTGAGAGATATTCAGAAATTTTCAACGAACAAACTATTTTTGATTTCATGATAAGCATCAGCTGACTGAAAGTCACACAGGAAGCTAGATAAATTGGGTCAAAGTGAATGGGTCCTTCTATCAATGGTTTTACCGTGAGCTTACATTTGGCTTACATTAACCCTACATTCTTGCAATTTGAGTTTTCTAGGCCACCACGTTAATGTGACCTAGAATTGGTTTGATATTAACCTGGTGTGTCTTCTAGGTAATTTTGAAGTGGCGGCTTAATTTTGCATGTTTGATTTTCTCGGCCAGCACTTCAATATGGCCTGGAATACACACATGTGAATATTAGATCAATTCTAGTCAATTTTACAATTTTATACTAGAAAACCCAATTTGAAAATGTTAGGTAGTCACTTCAAAATGATTTTCAAAAAACTAGAAAACAGACCAGGGGTATTTTGGGCTGTTTCTAGGCCGTTTTACTGGGGTGGCCTAGAAAACCCATTTTGAAAAAGTTAGGACATCACTTCAAAATCTCCTAGAAAACACACCAGGTGAATATCAGACCAACTCTATGTCATTTTACCATGGTGGCCTAGAAAACTAAGTTTGCAAATTTTAGGCCGCCACTTCAAAAATACTTTAAAAAACGAGAGAAAATGTCACCAACGACACTCCGAAATTCTTCTCGAATTTTCCTGCTTTTATATGAATTATTTATATAAATAATTAAGTGTTAATTGATGAACAGTTTCAACAAAGTTAGCATATTGAAACAGTTAATTATTCTTGGAACTTTTTGAAACATTATATTTCAGGTCACTGATTTCTTCTCGGAACTAACGACTGCTTATCAAGAGTTTATGGAGGAACAAGAAAACGAGGAAGATGTTGAAGAAATGGCCGATGCTCAAGATCCTGAGCAGGAAGAAATGCAAGATTCGCAAGACCACGTGGAGTCGGACATTCCATATTCTCGAAATGAGGTAGCGGACAATCAGCAAGGTCAAGATGAAGCCGAAGAGATGGAATACGATGAGGAGAACGGAGCACTTCCAGATTGGGAGTACCTGAATGCCCATTACTCGCAAAATGCTCCAAACGTTCTGGAATTGGAGGTCCAGAATGTTCCGGAGTTTGTTGCTGAAGAAACTGTCTCTTCTCCAAGTACGTCCAATGACTCAGTGACCGAAGAAGGGTCACAGGAGGCTGACCAGGACGTTGAAATATTAGGAATTCTTCCTCAACCAATCGTTGTGGCTCCAAGGATCAAGGTCGAGGATCAAGGTCCAGCTCCACCAGAACGCATTGTCTACGAGCTCCAGGATCGTCTTCTAGAGTTCCAAAATGAAGAACATGCTCCGGGACCTATTCCACTCCGGCGAGTGAAGACCACGATGGCTGAGATCATCAAGATCGATATGTGTGGATTGCTGAGGGGAACTCATGACACTGGATTCGTGTGCAAAGAACAGCTCCAAGAGTACAAAGTTTATGATCCCGTGACTCGAGAGCCTTTGGTGCTCCCTTTCAATGGCTCAGCGGATTTGAGCAGCTGGTCGGTAAGTATTATTTTATTCTCTTTTTAAATCGAATCAATAGTTTCTAAATTTCAAACGTTTTCAGCGGTGCCAAGTTCAAGAGTTCCTGGGCCAGATACTGCTTTCAAACACTGCACAATCGGTTGTGTCAAAATATTTGGAGAAATTTGAGCTGTTGACGTTCGAAGCAAAAACTGTTCAATTTTTTGAAGAATTGAACTCCTTGTTCTCTCATAGGAACCAGGGGATTAAGTGGAGTGAGTATGAAAAGATCTCGAGAGAAGTTGGAAAAGTCAGAAGAGTCCAACTTAAGCGAAATTGAATTTGTTTTCATCTATCATTTCTCTTATCATCTAACATTTCATCTGTCATTCATCTATCATTTCTGCTTCTTTCTTTGTGTCATTCCTCATTTCAAAATTTCAAAAAATTTCTCTGTTTTCCTATTGCTACTTATGAATTCCTTTTTTGAGATATTTATTGGGTATCCTTTTGACATGACTTAAATGAAAATTTATTGTGAAAAAAAACTTGCTATTGTTTTTTTGATTTCAGGAATTGCAGATGGTGGGAAACAAAATATAAAGACATTTAGTTCTGAAACAACGCTGATTATCTATAAATAACATCACAAAACACATGAAAATTATTGCAAAATTTGGTAAAATTGATCAGAACTACCGAAAGGAAACATTGGTGTACCTTATGAGTAACTTGAAACGTAAAAAGGATTACGGTAGACTCATCAGGAGAGTCAAAGGTGTAAACTCCATTCAGCACTACGCAAAAATGTAGATTTCAATTAATTGGTCAGATATAAGAACCTTGAAAACTTTCGACGACTCCTTTAAAGGCTTACAATAAATTTTATCAATTTTAGAATCTCAAAAAAATCCATATTATAAGAAAAATACTTCTGTTTCAGAATATTCAGATACCGTAAAACATGTATTAGAAGGGTCCCTTTAATAGAAGGGCCCCTCTAATAGAAGGGCCCTCCGAGAGGGGCATGGAAAAACAGAAGGGCCTCCTGTAATAGAAGGGCCCGCGTAATAAAAGGGCCCTCTGTGAGAAAGGACCTCATTCAGAATGTGTTTTGAAATCAGATACCTAATTTCGGTACTTTTTCAGTGGAAAATATTCCGGGAACTCCACAATTCAATAAAAATTTGTTGAAACTTTATTTTTCGATGAAAATCTTGCTAAATTTCGGTGAAATTGGCAGATTTTCATGAATTTTGAACGAACCTTCGTCGAATTTTTTGATGAAAAATTTCGGAACAAACTGGCCGGAAAAATAGAAGGGCCCCCTCTAATTGAAGGTAATAAAAAGGCCTTCTGGAGGTACCCTTGAACAATAGAAGGGCCGGCCCTTCTAATACAGGTTTTACGGTAACAACAAAAATTTTTATCCGTTAGTCCCGAGTCTACTTGAGCTGTCTGTTTTTTTATAATAGTTTTGATGCATTTGGTCCAGGTTTTCAAAAATATTGTTTGAAAAATTAGCTGTTTCTACTCAGTAATACACCTGCCTCATTTGTTCATGTTTCATTACACAAATCCGCGTCTTACTTCGGAATTACATTTTTAAACCCAATCATTTTTCACCTTATGATTACTTATTCCACGACAAAGACCAAAAACACAGCTAAAAATTTTGAAAGTGATTAGAAATTGATAAAAGTGATTGGAAGACTTATTAAAATAATATCAAGAAGGTAGTATTCGAAATACGACTGCTGACAAACAAATGGATCCTTTGAAGGTAGTTGGTTGAATCTAAAAATTATTAAGATCATTAAAAAAAAAACTAAAATCTCGGTTCCTACGCGAGATATCATAATTTTGTCAACTGATAAAATTTTGGTGACATTATGATAAAGATTTTATCAGTTGACAGGTTTACGAAACCTTTCACAGGAATCTAGATAATTGAAATCAAAGTGTGCGTACCTCGCCGCAAATCCTACATGAATCACAAGTGTCTCTTTTGGATCCGTTGGTTGATCATTCAACATTCGTGCCAGACGTACTGCATTCTTTCGATACCTTAAAACCAAAACTCTTCTGAATTGACCTAGATTTCGAGAATCCTCATTAAATAAGACTTTTTTCATAGCCTTCTTGATTATTTTGTAGTCTGCTGGTCAGTTTTTAGGAGTACGATAGAATCGCCATAAAGTTTTAACATCATTCCCTTTTTTGCCTAGTCAGCGAAAAAAGGGACTTATAACTCAAAAACTCGATCTGACACCGAATCAAAATGCAAGTATCTTTATTATTAATACAATTCTTTAAACATTAAACAATTTTTATCTCAAAAACAAATTCATGCAGTGATCTCAAATTCATCGTGATAAATCAAGTGTCTATCTCCTTCCTTCTTCCATATTTGCAAGATCTTTGCGTTGACAGTTCCCATTTTTTCAGTTTTCGTTGAAACATCAGTAGTGACGATCAGATAGTCTCCAGCTCCTCCGTATTTAGTATTGGAGAATGTGGAAACCGATTTTCCAGAAGCTTCGGCAAATTTGGCAACATAGGCAGTGATGGCTGGAATTTGTTTGAATTTAAAAGAAAAAATGGTTTTTAGGATCCAGAAATTTGAAATAAGAGACTTTCGCAGAATGTTAGAATTTCAAAAAAAAATGCTCACCTTTGTTTCCATAAACTGCTTCCTTGTCCTTATGAACCACGACTCCATTCGGATGATAGAATCCTTCGAGAGCATCCCATTGCTCATCATCCGCTGCTTTAGCACATGCAAAGAATTGTGGCTTCAAAACGGCTTCGGCTTCTGGAAAGCTATTTATGTTTGCTAACAATATATCAATGGTTTTGAAAACTTCTGAAAACATAACTAGATTTTGAAACAGTAGAATTTATCTTTTTTTTAAATTAATTTCAGTTTTTCAATTTTTTAAAAAATTTTCTTTTTCAGGAACAAGTTAAAAAACTGATTCAAATGTATCAGTATTCATTCTTGAGAATGTTTTCAATTAAAAAAAGTTGAATTCCTAAAAAAATTACGTTGTGCAGTGTAGGATGCCATTGTAACAACTCAAAACGCAGCGAATTCGAAGAGAATTGGAAGAAATTTCTTGTTTTCCAATTGCTCATCCTCTACTATTTATACAACCATCTTCCGTAGACTACGCTCACTACGTTTACTACATTTCAATCAACCTTTGGCAATTTCAGTGTCTGCGTCTTATCTGTTTTTTTTCCAATCTTTTTCATATTTTGTGTTCAGTGTGTCCTATAGAGAGAATACAAGTGCTATAGGGTACGGAAATTTGAAACTATTTGAAAATTCAAAAATTTTGATTTTCTCTAAACTTTAGAAGATCAAAATAGTTGGAAAATTATCTGACTGTTGGAGCATAGTTAATGTTCGGAAATAAGAACTTTTTGAAATAGCAAAGTATCAAGAAACAATAAAAAATTCAAACAGAATCTTCCTTTTCTCTTCAGATATCCATTTTTAAGTTTTGCTTTGATTTGGTCCGAATTGAAAAAAACATTATTTTCAAAAGATAATTTTGTCTTATTTTTCATTTTTGTTACGATGTTCAGTAACTTAATTCAAAAATTGAAATTAAAAAAAATATCAGTCATGTTTTGCCTTCTTACTACTATTTCTACAACAGAGACTGAAAACACAGCTGAGAATTTTGAAAGTGACATAAGAAGTGACAAAAATGATTAGAAGACCAATTGAAATGATATCAAGAAGGTAGTACTCGAAGTAAGACTGCTGACGACCATATGGATCCATTGAGGGTAGTTGGCCGAACCTGAAAATTATTGGGATTATTTTAAAAATCAAATATCTCGGTTCCTATAAAAGATATTAAAAAAACCTGTCAACTGATAAAATGCTTGTCATAATCAGCAATAGTTTATCAGTTGAAAAGATTTTGGTGGCATTTACAAAATTTGAGATAATTAAGCTTGCGTACCTCGCCGCAAACTCCACATGCTTCACAAGTGTCTCTTTGGGATCCGTTGGTTGGTTATTCAACATTTTTGCCAGACGTTCTGCATTCTTTCGGTACCTATAAAACCAGAAATTCATTAAGATGTAGCTTTTCTAGCACTTACTCGTCATTGAATAAGATTTCTTCAATAGCCTTCTTGATTATTCTGTAGTCTGCTAGATCAGTCTTATGGAGTACGGTAGCACCACCATGACGCTTCAACATCATTCCGTTTCTAGCTTGATCGGCGAAGAGAGGGACCTGAAGCATAGGAGAGATGGGTGAATGATAGAAATAGTTGTACATTTGTCATACTAGGCGACCGAAACAGTAGAAATAAATTCTTAAACCCTTTCAGCTCAAATACCTCAATGTCTTTAAGATATATCAAATTTTTTTCAACTGATAAAATGTTGGTTATATTATGGTAAACATTTTTTTTAGTTGATAGATATTTGATATCTTTCACAGAATTCGAGATAATTGAGCTCAAAGAAAAGTTTGAGATTAAGGCTCAAAATGTAACAGCTTGTAAAGTCGTTATTTTCGAAATCGGTTCCGATTCACAATTACAGCAATATTATATTAACCCCCAAGCGGCTGTACCCAATTGGAAAACAGAAACAATTTTTATAAACACAACTAACCATAACCGCTGGTTTTCCCATTAGTGCCAACTCGGTAACGCTGGCAAGTCCTCCATGAGTGACGAATAGAGACAGACGGGGATCACCTGAACATGAATTTTTAGGTCAAGGAATTTTTAAACATCACTGTTCCACACACTCAGTAAAAGTTAGGTTTTATTTTTGAGTTAATCTTTCGACTGTAAATTTAATTTATACAAAAAAATACAAATAAATTTTGTTCGGGGGACATAATCAAGATTTACGGTACGCAAGTCTGTAAACACCGCCTTCCACAGATCAGTTCTCCGTTGGCGGTCGCGGCCGGCAAGGCAAGCGCCAGCTCTTCCATCCAGTCTTGTCAGCCGCGGTCACTATAGCAATAGAACAGATTTCCCACACCCGACGTTTTTTTTTTCAGGTCAGAAAAAGGCGAAAAAAAATTAAATGTTTCACAAACTCAGTAAAATTAGGGCTTCATTTCTGTGTGAATCGTTCTGTTTTCAGCGTAATGTCCTTCAGCATGTTTCTTCTATTTTCAGCGTAATGTTTATCAGCAGGTTTGGGTGGCCGCGGCCGACAAAGCGAGCTTCTACTCTTCCATCTCGTCTTGTCAGCCGCAGCCACCAAAGCAGTAGAGCAGATTTGCGACTTTTTCTACCTACCTACAAAATTATTGAAAACAGAACCGCGGCCGCCAGGTCACTGAATCCCATCTATTCAAAAACTACTCTAAACAAAAAACCCCGACTCTTGACATACCCAATAACTCATTCTGTGGCAACCAATCTCCCAAGTACACATTCTCCAAATGATCTGCCAACGTGTCCTTCTCATTCTCATACTTCCAAATAAACGTCACTTCTGGAAGCAACTCGGCCACTTTGAGAATGCTCTTCCTGAAATTTTCTTTTTTTTTCCCAAAAAATGTGTCCTTTTGACTCACTTAAACTCCTCCGGCATATCAATTGATCTAGCGTTCGAACCAAATGAAATGAGCACATTTTTCTTTCGAAGTCCCAAAACTTTGTCCCATTTCTCTGGGAGTTGAAGGCTTTTGCGTTGAGTTTTCACAGAAATTCCTCCGATCGGAATGATTTTATCGAATGTGGGTGCTGGGAAATCCATAAGGGGGATGTGGTTGGTGAAGATGTACGAGGCTTCTGGGAGCACTTCCTGGAATTTTTTTCGCTGTTTCAGAAAGAAGATTTGGGCGTCCGCATTCTTAATATATGGTTCAGAAGGTTTAGAAGTATTAAGTTGTCCGGAAAGTAATCGATATTTTTTGAGCACAAATTTTATACATTCTTGCCGATCGATTTTCGTTCGATTTTCGCCGATCGATCGTTCGTCTTTGGAACGGCAATTATTCACTTGAAGGCAAACCAACCAATTTTCAAGTTTCGATGCCCATATTCAGAAAGGGCTGGAAGCTGAGCCGAGACTCACTGTTCGTGAAGTGTCTTCTACTTTCGGTCTACCTACTATGATAACATTTCATCATTGCCAAAGTCCGGACACTGAGAAAAATATGGTCAACTGGTGCCACACCATTTCAGTGATTCCCAGATTAAAACTAGTTGTGACTGGAGTTGGTCTTTGCTCACTCGTAAACGAACATTCGATGGGATCCATTATCTTGTGTCAGGATGTCTGTAGGTTAAAGAAAACAGAAAGCGTCAGTAGGTCAAGGTTTGCCAAACTCCAGAAATCAATCACAAAAGGGAAATTCGTGAAAAAAAGGGAGATGTTGATCATTTGGTGGAATTTTGACGTGTGACTTCAGAGAGATTTCTCCCAATTGTGCGACCGTTACAACGGACAAGTACTGTCACCAACTGCAAAAAGTATTCAATGCGTATCGTGCTTTGCGCTAGAAGCGGACACATTTGTTCTGCTTCGCGATAATGCGCACCTGCACACGACTTTGGCCACCCGCCAAAAATTCAGGGTCTAGATATCAAAACACTCGGTTACCCATCATATAGTCCAGACCTCGTTCTAACAGAATTTCATTTACTGAGCTCGCTTCAGAATGGTTAACATGGCAAGAACTTCGATAGAAGATCGGACCTAAAATCCTATTTGGATGCCTTCTTCGAGCAACATCCACCCGCGTTCTAGGCAAGAGTCATTGAGCATCTACCAAAACGTTGGCAGGGTGTGATGGACCATAATGGAAAATATATTAATTACTGAAAAGATTTTCCGAATGAATAAGCTTCTTCCGAAAATATGTTCAAAAATATCGATTACTTTCCGGACAACCTAATACGAACAACCTCTTTTGGGCGACTTATTGGAGCGGCTGAGTAGCGCTGTCGACATCGTGGTCGGCGGGGCGGACCGCGCCTAACCCTTTTGAAAAAATCCAGGCCTGTTTAGGCTTTTTTTGAAGCTCAAAACGTCACAAAATTCGAATATTATAATTCGATTTGATTTTTGCAAAATTGAGCAAAACAAGTCTATTCACAAAATTTCCGTTTGGATTTTTGTCATAATTGCTTTCATTTTCTCTCTTTTCAGTCAATATTTATATTTTTGAATTTTCCTTATTTTGAGCTTCGAAAAAAGTATGAACCAACTTAGATTTGCGAATGTTTGAAGTTTCGACAACGAAGGCGCATGAAACAAGATTTCTAAATTGAGTAACTTTTTGAGATCCGCTAAACTGGAACACATCCAGATTTTCTTCTACTTCAATATTTTTCGGCTGTTTGAAACTGAAGTCTTATATGACATGTTTTTTCAAAGTTGATACACCATCATTAATGTCGAAAACCTTACCCTCCACGACCTGACACCAGGAATCAGCTCCTTTGCCACTTTGTAGTCTTCATCTCCGATATAACCAAACAAGAAATCACCCATCACAAAGTGTAGAATATTCATAAACTTCTGTCCAATGGTCATCTTTTCTCCATATGTGGATTGTGTACCAGGCACGTAACTTGGCGCAATCGGTTGACCAATTGCTGAAGAGACATGATCCAAACGACTACAAGCAAGGACTGCGACGTGAGCACGGATTTTTATGGCGTCGAAGAGTTCTGAAATAGCCAGGGCTGGGAAAAACAAACGCCGGCGGAAACGGCGGCAAAATTTCGGCGTTTCGCCGGCTAGCCGGCTGCGACGACTCGGCTGCAGCCGGCGAGCGGCGGCGGCCGCCGGCGTTTTTATGCGCACTACGGTAGATAAAAAGTTGTGCAGTCTGCATTTTTTCGTTAACGCACATTTCTTTATTGTTTTTTGGCTTAATTTTAATCGTTTTTTGCCAAAGTTGTCTCGTTTTATTTAAAAAATGGAAGATTTTACAATGAAAGGAGAGATGGAAGGTGTTCGATTTCAGAAAGTGAGTAAAAATAGAACGTTTCGCTGAAAAGAACAATTTCCAGGTTAATCTTGTCGGCAAGATGAATTCGTTTTTTAAAAGAATCGAAATCGAAACTGTGGGAAGCATAAAATTTTTATCAACCAATTTTGTTGTCTGTGTCCAGTGCAACAAGGTCTTTACTGACGGCGGAGGACAAATGAGGCAAGAAAATATGAAAAAAATACCTTTATATTCATAAAAATCATACAGTTTCGATTTTATTTACCAATGTTTCAGAAAACATGCTGATATCTGCAGAAACAGAAACGCAGTAGAAAAACTAGCCACTACTACGAAAGCTGATGTGACGCATGTGTTGTCTAAATACTTTGCACGTTCTTCAAAACCTCTGCATTTTCTAGAATGCTCAGACTTTCGCAAGATGTGTGAGGAATTATTGAAGCTCGGGTAAGCTTTTGAATGGTTGCTACTGATTAAATAATCAAGCTTTAGGCGAGGTGCAAATTTGGAAATTGATATGAAGTCAATATTACCAAGCCGCAAAACAGTAAAAAATAAGCTTATGGAGTGTCTAGAACTGGAAATTGAGAATATTCGAAGAATGGTATTTTCGAATGTCTCGAAAAAATTTTTTATTGATGTCATTTCAGTTGGAACCTGCTGTCAAGTCTTCCTCGATTTCTTTCATGTTAGATTTCGGAAAAGTTTACGATAATTTTTTGGCTATCAAAGCAAGTTATCTATTGGAACGTGCAAATGAGAATGTCCAATTGCGTCTATACGAAATTTATGAGCAACGGCAAAAAATTTGTAACTGAAATGAAGCAGATTGTAAATACTGATGAAGGCTAATAAAAAACACATGATAAAACATAATATCAGGCATTGTCAAGTGAAAAGTATGGTCTGAAACAATATGTTCCGACGCGATGGTTTAGTGAATTCGATTGTGTCGAATCGGTTATGCAAAGTATCGATAGTCTTACTATGGCAGTTGATAATTTTCCAAAAGAAGCGTCTAATTATTTGAATGAACTGTCAAAAATCGAAAGCCGAGTTCTTTTCAAAGAATTGTCACAAGTTATTCAGCCCTTAAAGGAATGTAGTAAATACTTTCAGGTATAGATTATTTATTTATTAAAAAAACCATATTTTTAAAGCCAATAGATCACAATCCAAGATGTTGTGCCATTCTATTTATCACTTCTAGATGAATACCAAGAACAACATGCAACAGCATCGGTAAACATGGATGGATTCATGATTTCCCAATTGTCATCTTTTTAGAAACATCATTAAATCATATTAAAATTTGCATCACTGGCCATACTCAAGCAGATGGAATCTTTGGCACCTGCCCATTACGTATGTAGCAGTGTATCTCTCTCCTACGACAAAAAATCTCGTTGCTGTTCAAATGAGACTAGACAGTCATAATGTATTCTATTGTCTCAGTATCTACCGAATATTTTCATAATTTTCAGATTGATATTGATGTGCAGAGAATTGTGGATTCAGAAATGGAAAAGATTATATCTGTTCTGCCGAAAAGAAATGGAAAAGATTATATCTGTTCAGACGCTTCCAGCTCCCCACAAGCCACGCCGAAACGGGCTATGACATTTGTAGAAAAATGTCTTAGCAAGTCTTCAGCTCCTTCACCGATCTCTTTGATTGAAGAGCGCATTTATTATGAGCGAGACTCTCGCCAATGCCAGCCACAAATTTATTGGCCTATGGTAAAATCGATATATCCGAAACTTGGAAAAGTCGCATGGAAATTTTTTGGAGTACCCACTACAGAATCGGATGTGGAGCGCTCGTTTTCTATTTTGAAAAACGTATACACTTCGAATCGACTGTCGCTGGAATCGAAATTTTTGGAAAATCTAATGTTAATCAAAGAGATGCCTTAAAATAGATTTATTAGTTTCCATCTAATTTCTGAAAAACTCGCGCTCCAAAAATCGATTTCTCAACATTTTTCACTTTCGTTTCCAATTTTCTCTGATTATTTTAAAAATATTAGATTCTTATTCATTTTTTTAATTCTCATATTTGTTCATTTTGTTGAACTACTTCGCGCACACACAGCATGAACGCCGGCGCCGCGGCGCGGCTGTGTTTTGAAAACGCTGCGTTTCGCCGCCGTTTTTCGGCTGCGCTGTGAGACGGCGGAAAGCCGGCGTTTTCCCAGCCCTGGAAATAGCAAAGATATGATAATCAACCACTGATTAAAAGTTGTGATCAGGAATCGAATAATTAGTTTCAGAAACAGTAAAAATTTTGACCTAGCTCTTGTTACTGGTCTTCAGGCTCTCGGGCACCAAAAAAACTGAATTGTTTCAACTTGGGTACAAGCGTTGTGGGAGAAAAAATGGAATAATTCTAGTCGTATTCAGATAACTCCTTTTTGAAAACAACGTTTTTACAAATGGATACGTACCAGCCCTTGTCTTCATCATGTACTCAAATTTTAAGCTCAATTATCTCAATTCCAGTGAAAGATACCAAAAATCAATCAACTGATAAAACGTTTGTCTAAATATCACCGACATTTTAACAGTAGACAGATTTTTGATATCTTTCACATGAATTGAGATAACTGAGCTAAAAATCATTTATGGTACACAAAAAATGTTCCTACTCACCATAAGCACAAGTGTCGAAGGGTTCTGTGATAGCCAAGTCGAAATTTTCAGCCTTCAATCTTTCTAGCAATTCCTTGTCTTCCAGAACTTTTCGACATTGAGAAGCGAAAATTGCTGACATTGCAGGGGCGTGCTGGAAAAAAGTTTAATTAACCAAAAGTACAAAAACGGACCAAACAGGGGTCTTTCAGAAATCGACAAATAGCTGAAAAACTAGGAATTTTCAAAATATATGTGAATGCGAAGTTTTCAATTTAGGTCTGTTTAACACTTTCCTATGTTTTCAAAGTGATAGTAAACTTGACAGCCAAACTCCAGACTTCTGAAAATGGTAAAAATGGCCGAAAATCAACTGAAAATTATGTTTATGTATCTAGGTCTTATATTTTAAAATTCACCGTCCACCTTTACCATTGAAAATGGTATCATGTTTCCTAATCACAGAAATGTGAAACGGACAAAAACCGAAAATTCTCTGTTTCACAATGCTCCTAAAATTTTCCAAGTTCCGAGTTTGAACTATTAGACAGTTCTCAATTTCGAAACTCACAAAAGCCATAAAAAGAGGATTCGAATTGTCTGAAGTCCACATTTGTGTCATGAACTTCTCCATAGCTGCGATTGTGGTAGATGTGTCTTGTCCTGGTGGAACTTTGATAATCTTTTTTGTCGACTTCATTGCTGTTTTATTTTCTTGCTTGAAATCGATCACTGGCATTAGAACAGTCTGGAAAAATTTTTTAGTATAATTTCCTTTGTTTTTACAGTTATTAACTGAACATCGAATCATGAGTTATTTTGTTTCCACATGAATATGAAGATTTTGAAACGGCAATTTTTAATTTTTGACTTATGCGTTTTGTTAGCTATTTTTCATTGAAATTTCGTTGAAAATAGCTATTTTAGATGTCAATAAAACATAACGAAATTCATAGAAAGAGCCAAAAAATTTGAGAGGGTATTAAACAAGAATAGAGCTTCTTTTTTATAGTTGACAACTTTTCTGTACAAATTTATCTGAATGAGATATACCGCGCTAAAATAATTGTTAGTTATACGACCAGAATCTCAGTACTTGATCAGTTTCAAGCTGTGTAGCTGATTTAAATAAATTTGTACGAAAAAGTTGTCAACTACAAAATTAAAGCTCTAGGTTTGTTTAGTATACTCTGAATTTTTCGAACAAATCTAAATTTTCTGAAACATTTTTGTAGGGCGTCTAATTAGGCATTTTTAACAAAAAAAATGCAAGCAAATAACTGTAGAATTCAATCACTATTTTACCTTTTCAAAATTTCATATTCCGAACCAATAAAAATAGTCAAAGTTTCTGATCTTTTGGCTGATATATTCATTTTTTGATAGAGTAACTGAAATCTCATTTTTCCATTTATCAATATCTGGAACTACAAAAAATAGAGTAACTCCTTACCACATCATGACCAGCATCAGTGAGTGTATCCGAAACGGCACCCAACATTTTAATATGACTGTGACCGAATAAGTTAGTGTACATCAGTATCTTGTAGGGCTCCGCGAGCCCTATACAGGCTAATAATACTGGAACAATCCATAACCTCATTTTTTAGAATGAATTACAAACTGTATACAAAAGATGGTTTATGAAGGGGGAATAGTGTGGTTTGATTTTATCAATTTTTGGGCTGATAAGGCGATAAGATTGCAGGAAAGAGCGTGTGTTTTTGGCTAGTGGAGTTTGTAGTTTCTAGGAAGTTGAGCTGAAAAGGAGTAGTTTTTTGGAGAATCGGTGTTTTGAACAGATTGAGCATTTCATATGTCTTTGGCTTCCGTCGGTCGGCCACAACCGCGTAGCGGGGCTTTTCAAAAATTAACTGTTCCAGAATCATCTCATCAGCGATCCTATTTAATCTTGTTAATATTTTTGCAACACAAATATGAAAAGTTGAAAATAAAAGAAACCCAAATAAAGTTACTGTTTCAAAATGTTACTTTGGAGTTTTGAAAAATGTATAGGTTGATTTTTTTTTTCATTTCGTTTTGAAAACATGTCAATTTCCATATTATAGTCGAAAACTAGATATTTCTTGTAGAAAATAATTTCTCTTTGACAGTTGGCTCTGGGAAATTAGAAAACATTTTTTCATAATTTGAGAATATTTTCTTACGATTTTATTTCTTATTGTTGCTTTAAGCTCACTTTCCAATTTGATTGTAATCAAGCAAATTTGATACTTGATTTGTTTGTGACAGAAAAAAGGAGCCAAAGAACGAAAAACCACAGCTTGATAACAAAAAACGCCGTTTTGACAGTTATCATTCTCTCCGTTAATGAGATTGATAACACCTGCACCTGTCAATCAGTTCTCTTTGAAACCGGAACAATATTTTATTTGAACTATACATACATCATTAATTTAAACGTTAATTGACTAATTTAGTAAGACATTGTTGAACGTTTCATCTAAACTCGAATGTCTTCAATGAAACTGTTATAAGGTACATTTCTTGGTATAGTGAACTCCTGGAGCTTGCCTCTAACCAAATACCCATAAACAAAGTACACTTTTTGAAAGCGCTGTCCATTTCGTCGCCAGGCACCTGGCACCGAGAACTCTTATCAGAACGAAATTGGTGGCGAGACGAAAATAAAAGCCAATTCTTATTGTTCTCATCAGGTGACATTGAAGTTTTTGTTCCTTCTTCTGTACTGTAAATTTTTTGCTCCTTTGTCCATATTTATTAGCATGTGTTTTTTGAGTATCTCTATTAGAGCCATTGCTAGTTGTCGATCTCAGAACCATCACTTGATCTCCAGAAGAAAGTCTTCTGTGTCATATGACAAACTTGAAACCGAAAATTGGAACAGATTGTTCAAAAAAGTTACACGGTCGCAAGTGCCCCCTATAAACCGGGTACGGTAGCCAAAATAATTGCATTAGCTACATATTATCAAGCCTCCTTTTAAAAAGTCTTACAAAGAATATGTTAGTACCTAACAATTTTCCAATGTTTCAGAACCCATATGGTCTCGTTCGCTTGGGTTGGTGAGCCCAGAAAAATCCCGCTGGCCGGGAAGGATTGCGAGGAGACATGTTGTGAACTGGATCCTCAATGCAAGCATGTTCATGGATCGAACGATAAATCGACTTCCAAAAAATTTAGTGAGTTTATTTTTTGATTTCGATGTTAATTATTGCTCCTATCATAGAGCAAATGCTAGTCGTTTATTCCCTTTTTTCCTAAATTAGATTTTTGACTAGATTTGGAACTCTACGCTGTAGCAGACAGAGCTTGCAGATTAATGGTGTATAGCAAAAGGGTACGGTAACAAAGGGGATGTGTAACTGTAAAAATCCATTCTCTCACCATCAATGAATATTCTGAAAAATCCGTTATCTACGAGGTTGCAAGCTTTACCGAACATTGCACCAATGAAAAATCGGATCAAATTTCTAAATTAAATTAGCTGAATATTTTTTCTAGGTCTCACCCCTCTTCTGGTATTCTTTGCTCCATATCTCCTCTACGTTCTCATCATCGCTCTTCTGAAAAATCTGGAGTCGTGCCTATCGGACAAAATCGAAATCCTCCAGCCCTTCTTTGTTCTCTTCATCACAATCACAGAACTTCTAAATGTGACACTTCTTCTACCTCCTCGGAGATTAGGAACAAGGTCGGACGAAATCATGAAATTCGATGATAGAGAGGTTCCAAAAACGACCAAGTTCACACTGATGAAAGCAGTTCAAATACTTCATGCCGCTATAGCTGTTGCGTGAGTTTTGGGACTTTTTGAGATCCTTGAATATGGCTTCAACTACTACCGTAGTATCATCGAATTGAAAAACCAAATTATATTACGATATTGAAACATTCTTAATGAGAAAATTGTTATATTTCATTTTTCAGCTCAATTTTTGCATTGTTCATCAACATCTCAAATCAACTGGTCCCTCCCCTCCCTCCTCCTTACAAGAGTTACGAAGCACTTGTATGGACTACGATTTTGATGTTTTCTTTTCCAATCGGGAAAGCAGCTTTAGAAGGAAGATGGATGTCAAGATACAGTAAGTTCATAGGATAGCCTGTTGTCAGCAACATGGCCGCGGTCGGCCGCGGTCTGGACGTGCATAAGATCAGCCACTCAGAAACGTATAGGGCCACAAGGCCGCCTTATCCCAGTAGTATTCTTACCAAAATGCCGCGGTTCTGTTTCCCACAGCCTTGGGTTTAGGAGAGAGAGAGAGAAGGAGAGAGAGAGAGAGAAAGAGAGAGAGAGAGAAAGAGAGAGAGAGAGAGAGAGAGAGAGAGAGAGAGAACCTCAATGATCCTCCTGATGTTTTCAGACATCTCCACCATCATTCTCAACACCGTGGCACTACTCGTTGGATCCATGTTGTGTTTTCCCGATGTTTACCCCGTCCCTCAACCATCTGAAAAACTTTCGGTCATCACTGGAGCACTCATTTTGACGGGAGCAGTTCTTCATCTTCGTTTCGCCTACTTTTTCAAGTTCCCTCCAAGACATTTGTGCCTTCTGACGATTCCAGAGTATAGAACATTGCTGAAACCAAGTTTCGGATGGGTTTTGCTGTTCCTTGGGTGAGTAAACTGAAGGGTTTGGGAAAAATTCAAAATGTTGTTTTTTACTATTTCCATATCTTTATTAGAGATGGTACTTCTGATTACTAATATTGCTGTGTCGGTAAAATTCCCCTCATCTTAAGGACCTTTTTTGCGGCTCCTATGAGAGATATCAAAAAGTTATCAACGGACAAATGTTTATCATAATACCAAAAACATGTTGTCAGTTGTCCATTTTTTATATCTTCTACAGGAAATGAGATACAAAGACTTAAGGTTGACGGTTTGGGGCATTCGTTTAATGGTAACTAAGGATCAAAATAGGGATACCAGTTAGCGTTAGAGATGTAAAAATACATATTTTCCAGATGCCTCTTCTCCCTTGTTACCACCAAACTTGTATTGGAAACGTCTCCAGTTGAAACTCGATGTGTTCGCCAACTCGTCAAATTTCTCATGATTTCAGTCTCGGTTTCAGTATTCATGTGGGGTATCAAACTCGCTATGGGCGTTCGCAAATACTGGTTCCCCCAGAAATCAGGATTCCGTGCTCTGAATTTATAATTTTACTTTTTTGAAGCTAATGAAAGTGTTGTATATCGGGCTCGGACATTGATCGTTTGTTCACATCTTAATGGTAGTAGTATGAAAAATTATCACAATTATAAATTGAAAATGTGAAACTGTTTAAAGGAGGCCAGACACGAAAGTCTACGGGGTTTTATTGGGGCGAGATCATGCATTCTGACGGAAAGTCGTGCGATTGCGACCAATGCGCGCTATTTGACGAGAATTTATTTTTTTTAGTACACACTAGATTTCTTCAATGTTAGGCCATAATTCCAGACTTTTTGTCGATATTCTGTCATTCCATGATGTCGCCGCATGAAAACAGAAAAAAACGAAAACGGATAGGTGGGAATCGAACCCGCGATGCGCGACCGGTAGACAACCTCTACACCAAACGGCGCCTGCTGTCGGCTGCCGCTAAAACGGTTATGAAACGAGGAGTGGGCCGCCGCTTGGAAGAACGTTCGGGTTCTCGCTTGTACGGCAACATGGAGTTATGATTGGGTGACCATACATATTTTCTGACTGTGCCGTGTCATATATCAAAAACTTGAACTTTAAAATTTTTCATGGCTAGCCTCCTTTAAAAAAGCTTTCACAAAACTTTCACAAAAAAAAATCAGTTTCAGTTTCCTAGTATCAACTTTCAAGTTTTTAGAGAATCAAGTGGTATTCTGGTATAAAAGTAAATAAAAAAATTCCAATTAGACAAAAACCACAGAACATCCATTTTCATAAATTAGCAGAAATCGGAAGAAACAAAATAAGACTCATTTCATCTTGTTTCTGGAACAGTACTTTCTCTAATAGAACGGTACTACTTTCAACTCAATTATCTTGATTGCTTTGAGAGATATCAAAATTTCGTTAATTGATAAAATGTTCATCATAATGTCACCAACATTTTGTTAGTTTTTTTTTGATATCTCTTAAAGGAACCAAGATAATTCGGCTAAAAGTAAAGGTACCTTGTGAGCTTTGCGTTTGACGTTATAAAAACCTTAAAAACCAATTCGTCACTTTTAATTTTCCCATCTTCCAGCTGACTCAAAAAAGTAGTTGTTTACCAACCAAACCTTCTTCTGCTTCTTTGCGTCTCTCAGTTCCCTCCACTATCTTTTATCTTTCATATAAAGAACACACCTTATGCTTGAAAAAATCATTTTTTTGAATTTCGAAATCTCTTTTCAAAATACATGACGATACTCGGATTTTCGGAATTTTCTGGGAATCCGGAGAAACTTCTAGAAGATGTGCAATGTATCGGAAAATTGGATGAGCATGAAATCGATGGGACAGGTAAAAGTGAGTTCCGTATAATTTTCGGTATTGATTTTGATATGTTCGTCGTGATCTAAAGTAATGGTAAAAGAAAATTCATTTTGAAATAAAAAATACTTTCCAGAACTCGACTTCATTTTCTCCTGGATTTCACCCTATCCTCTTTACGGATTGCTCATTCTTCTCATGATTTATGACAAATGTCTCCTTGATTTCGACCCAATCCCCTTGGTATTCATGTTGGGAGCAAGTTTCTCATTTGAAATGCTTCATTTTATTTTGTTCTGTCCGCCGAAAAACTATAAAGGAGGGAATTTGGATCTCATAGATTTTCATAAATATTCGAGAGAAGGAGAAATGACCATGTTAAAGGAAGTTCATTTTTTCTGCACATTTTTGTTTTTTTTTTTGAAACATTTTGTTTTGGATGATTTTGAATGAAAACGCCTAAAGTTTTCAGAGCAATTAAACAATTCTAGAGTGTTCTGTTTAAATTAACTGACAAAATTCTTTTGCAAAAATTCAAAAATGATCACCATTCGTAGAACCGCCCCTAATACAAGCGATTCAAAAAATCCGATTTTTCTATCTTTTGGATATAGTCAATTAAAAAAAACTTTATTTCTGTTTCTTATACTTCAGAAGTAGTTATCAAAACTCAATAGAAGTTATTAATATGTATTTGTTACCTATGGGTGTTAAAGTTTTAAATGTAAAATCTGTGATCAAGAATTTGCAGAAATAATTATCGTATCAAAATCGTTAAGTTAATAAAAACGGTTCAAATAACTCAATTTTTTAAAACAATCTGTAAAAAGCCAAAACGAAAACTTTCTCTGTTTCTCTAGTACGGCAAAAAATCTTTTGAAAAACCAGAACTTATTCGGTACACTTTTGGGTCTCAAGATTCAGACTACAAGACAGCGGAGCGCAATTGCTTGACGCCATTTTTTTCACTGAGAACTGACTGTACAAAGTTTTCCAGAAATAGAAAATTAAAGCAATCGTGCTCAGCTGACTTGCATTTCGAATTTTTGAGTGTCTACACAAAAAAAAAAGAAAAGTATCCCAAAATCCCAAAAAATCACAGTTGCGGAAATATGATATTTTTGAGAAACCTATATTTTGCTCACTTGAAGTTTTCTTACATGTCCAAATTTCAAAAAAAATCCTACAATTCTAATACTTTCAGCACTCTATGGATAGTATGTTACGTTGTGAGAGAATATGCCTCAAAATTCCTTCCATATTCTTTTCCTATTCAAATTATTGGATTCATTTTTGCAATAATTGGAACTTGGAGACTTTTTCATTTCTATAGACAAGGAGATTGGATGAGAGAATCTGGTAAGTTAGAAAAAATTGTGTGGGAAGTGGTTAAGCTACACAGTCGTGCCCCTTGAGTTACAAGCTCCGGCTGCCGAGCCTGGCCTAGAAACTGGATTTTGGTTATTCTAGGCCACCTTCATCGAAACGCTCATAACTTGTTTCAATGTCAAAATGTTTAGGTTCTGAATTATTTTCGAAATTGACATAAAAAGTGCTTCAAAACAAATATAGGATTTCTGATTACTGCAATTTTCGTGGTGGGACCCATGTCATGTTTATATTCATTTGAAATGACTTGACTTAACATAACTTAATTTAAAATTTTTTCTCGAAAAGCCTATGCAACAGTAGGGACCGAAAATTATTATTTTCCAGAAAATCTATCAATCGTCCTATCAATCTTCACCCAAACCATCGGAATCCTTCTCCTCCTCGGAAATCGATTTTTCAATATTCCACAATCAGATTTTTGTGCTTTTTCATGTTTGATGGGTGTCGTTTTTCATTTACGATTTTCTTATTTTTTTGAAAATCCGCTAAAAATCGAATGTCTACTCACTATTGTACGTACCAGAGCATTCGTGAAGCACTGGTATCCTTGGATGGTTGTTTTTAATGGGTGGGTTTTTTTTTCTATTTAAGAAGTTTCCTGTTTCATGAACATTCGAAAAAAACCATTAGCTTATGGCTCTAATTTTTTTTTCGTGGTATTTTGAAAAATCTAAACTTTTTCAGACTATTGTGGTCCGGACTCTCCCTACTAATTCTTTTACCACCAAACAGTCCGTATACTGTACCCAGGCCACCATGTCTTGTACACAACTTCATTGGTCCACTCGTTGGTTTTTGTATCCTTGCCCCAATTATTTTCTTTGGCACTATTCTCAAAATGTATTGTGATTTGGGACCGATTAACTATGACTACTTGTTTTTTGTGTGACTTTTTTGAATTTCGAATTTATTTCCATTGATAAACTTTCTGTGATTGATGTAATTTTCTAGAGTTAAAATAGCTTAGTTTTTGTAAAGGGAGATTATCAGAGCTAGATTTAAAGAAATTAATGTAACTTCTGAATGCAGATCCAAAAGGCGTAGTGAAACATTGACAATTCTAAACAGGAAAGCTTAAGAAAAACTGATAAAACACATGAAAAACAAGAACCTTGATATCCAAGAAAAAAAATTTTAAGATCAGCTTGGAGGCAGTCACAGTAAGTAGCAATTGTGCAAACGATTCAACACACTAACCTGAAACGGTAAAAATTTGACTAGCCCTATTTTCCTAGATGGCATGGTAAAACTGTATGGATACTAAAAATGTCTTGAGCTAAATTTTCACAAGCTTCAAACCAACACAACGCACTTCCAATAAAAGAACCATAAAAGCGTGATCAAAAAATTAGTAGGGAACGTAGCATGTAAGCTATCGATAGACCGCTAATTTTGCAACAACGGAGCTTAACCGGCAGTGTTGCACTACCAATGTTATTTGGTCCGCTCCTCAAGAAAGACTCAAAAATAAATTAGCTTGCTCATAAACAAAAACTAACCAGCTGGGCCATTGAACATAGGATCATTTGACAAGAATCAAAAAAATGCAGTATGTGCTTTTCAATTGATAATGATATTATCACTGCTTCCTTACATTTGAATATAACTATTAAATGAACAACAAATGGACTTTTCAAATTCAATAAGTCTATACAAATTCGACGCAATTCAATTAGTACTATTAAAATACCCAAATTGCAATACATACCACCAAGCCAGCCATGAAACTCCTTATTTCTGTTCTTCTGATGCTCTCTGTTTCACAACAATATCAAAACTTCCAGAGTCTGAATTTAGGAATATAAGAAACCTGAATCAGTAATAGTTGTCTACTATGCGTTTCTTCTCATTCCGTGCTTTCTCAGTCGAGAGAAACACAAAATAGGAGACGCAGACAACTGAACAGATTTTTGTGTCTTTCCTCTAACACACACTATGCTTAACCCGAAGCACAATACTGACCACAATTCTTCAAAGATGAGGGTTCGCAGACCATAACTTTTCTGGGTATAAAAGACAGTAACATTTACACTTTAACATGGATTTCTTAGGATCTTTAGCTTTACATTGTTCATTTACTGATAGAATTAACACTTCCAGAATGACTCGATTCTCTGGAAAGAGTGTGATCATCACCGGATCCTCTAATGGTATCGGAAGAGCCACCGCAGTGCTCTTTGCCAGATACGGAGCCCAAGTGACAATTACTGGACGAGATGCATATAGGTTGGAAGTCACTAGACAGAAGGTTCTGAAAGCTGGAGGACAAAATGTGAATGTTGTGGTGGCCGATGTGACTGATCCTCAAGGACAGGATAGGATTATTCATTCGACTCTGGAAAAGTTCGGAAAGATTGATGTTTTGGTGAGTTGTGGTTGACAAAGACACGTAATGCTTCCATCTAGCTGAAGAAGAACTGACATAGGCAATCTGAAACGTTCAAAATGTTCTTGAAAAATCAAAGAATGGTCTTAGCCAAAGTCTTCCAAATTCAAAAGTCGTGCTAATTCTTCCAGGTCAACAACGCTGGCGCCAATATCGTCGACGGTACCATGTTCACCGATCAATCCATGGATTTGTACCATAAAACATTCCAATTGAACTTCCAATCAGTCGTCGAGATGATTAAGAAGACCAAGGAGCATTTGGTGAAGACAAAGGGAGAAATTGTTAATGTTTCGGCACTTGCTGCAGGACCACAGGCGGTATGTATCGTTCGAAATTCCATTTGAACCGAGTTACCGTAAAACCTGTATTAGAAGGGCCCCTGAAATTGTAGGCCCCTCTAATTGAAGTACCCCCCCCCCCTAGATACCCGTCCTTCTGAGACCTTTCTGAGGACTCAGAGACCTTTCCTTTAGTACCCCTTTCTTTTTGTATGAAACATAAATTTCAAGATCAAAATGACATGTGAGTTATGCGGATTTTACTTCCAGTTTCCCATGGCTCCATACTACGCCGCTGCCAAAGCCGCTTTGGATCAATACACTCGTTGCGTGGCCATCGATTTGATTCAATATGGAGTGCGCGTCAACTCAGTCAGTCCTGGTGTGGTTTCCACTGGATTCATGGGTGCAATGGGACTGCCGGAGCCAATACAGGAGAAGGTAAGAAAAAAAATACTGTTTCGAAATGAAAATTTAAGTTTTTGAGTAACTTTTGAAGACGTTCGAATATTGGCAATATCAAATTCCAGAACAATATTATTCATTCCAAATAAAATTTAAAAAGTTAATAAAATTTTTTTCAGGCCAGTTCCTTCCTGGCCTCTCGAAAAGAGTGTATTCCTGCTGGAGCACTGGGAAAACCAGAGGATATCGCAGAATTGATCGTGTTCCTGGCTGATCGTAAACGTGCATCCTACATCATCGGGCAATCGATTGTGGCTGATGGAGGATCTTCCTTGGTAGCCGGAATGCATGCTCATGATCCGAAGGATATGTTGGAACTTTGAATATCGAATTTAAATAATGTGTTTCAAATAAAAATGTTGATTGCTTATTCTACTTTTGAATACCATAGCTAAACAACATTATGTTTTAAAACAATTGTGCTCTACCTTCAAATTTCTAGATTTTGAATTAGAAAATAAGGCATTAGAAATGTCCCACAATTACAGTAGCGGCCATCAAGATGTACAAAAAAGTATTTTTCAGTTGGTTTCAAGCTATTTTGACCCCATTTTCTGGAGTCTGGAGTTCGGTTGTCAAGTTTCCGATAACTTTGGTGTCAAAGAGACCTAGAATGAAAACTTTGCATTCATAAAATACAAATGCCTGTGGGAAAGGATTTCGTAATATTCAGCAAGTTTAAACCAACAAATTTACAACGGAAACAAACTTGAAATTGTTCTTTTGGTCCCTCTCTTTATGAGCCTAAAAAGTTGTGGTCAAAATTGTGCTGTGATGGAAAGAAAACACAAAACTTGTTCAGACGTCTGTATCTCTCATTTTGTGGCTCTATTTTATCATTCTCAGATTTTGGTTGGAAGATGTTAATATTTCAAAGGGCAAAGTTTGTAGGAAATGAGGCAGTTGAACCAGTGAAAAATGAACAGAAAAAGTCCCACATTTCTCTACCTTCAAAAAACAAAAGAGGAAAAATAGGAGGCGCAGACGGATAAAGAAGTTTTGTGTCTTCTTTTTACCACGGCACACTTCGACCACAACTTTTTCTGCCGAATAATAGACTTTGGCTTCTCAGTAGATAGATTTTCTGGGAGTATGAAAGGCATCAAGGTTGTCACTAAAAATATCATTCTGAGGATTTTGAAGCATTTCTGTTCCCCTATTCTTCGTTTTCCTAGCTTTCCAACAATGACTCGGTTCTCTGGAAAATCTGTAATCATTACTGGATCCTCTAACGGTATTGGAAGAGCTACCGCTGTGCTTTTTGCCAGACACGGCGCCCAAGTGACAATCACTGGACGAGATGCTGAAAGGTTGGAAGTCACCAGACAGAAGATTTTGAAAGCTGGAGGACAAAATGTGAATGTTGTGGTGGCCGATGTGACTGATACTCAAGGACAGGATAGGATTATTCGATCGACTCTGGAAAAGTTTGGAAAGATTGATGTGTTGGTAAGTTATTGAGTCAAGACAGACGACAGCAGCTGGCCCAGCGCTTCCTGTTCTTGTATCTCCAAAACTAGTCAACAACCTCTCTGTTAGCCAAAGTCTTCCAAACTCAAAAAAAAACTTAACTTCCCAGGTCAACAACGCTGGTGCTAATATCGTCGATGGTACCATGTTCACCGATCAATCCATGGATTTGTATCATAAAACATTCCAATTGAACTTCCAAGCTGTTGTTGAAATGATCAAGAAGACCAAGGAGCATTTGATAAAGACAAAGGGAGAAATTGTTAATGTGTCTAGTATTGCCTCAGGGCCGCAAGCGGTATGAATCGTTCCGAAATTCCATTTGCACCGAGTTATGCGTCTTTCAGTTACCAATGGCTCCATACTACGCATCTGCCAAAGCAGCATTGGACCAATATACTCGTTGCGTGGCCATAGATTTAATCCAATATGGAGTCCGTGTCAATGCAGTCAATCCTGGAGTCGTTTCCACTGGATTCTTGAATGCAATGGGACTTCCGAATCCAGTTCAGAACAAGGAATGGAAGTTTTCAGTTCTGAAGAAAATCATTTTATTTTAGGCCGAAGCTTTTATGGCTTCCCGAAAAGAGTGTATTCCTGCTGGAGTGTGTGGACAACCAGAGGATATCGCAGAACTGATCGTATTCCTGGCTGATCGCAAACGTGCATCCTATATCATCGGACAATCGATTGTGGCCGATGGTGGATCTTCTTTGGTAGCCGGAATGCATGCTCATGATCTGAAGGATATGCTGGAACTTTAAACATTATAATAAAAAAGTGAATTTATTGAAATAAAATTGCGTTTGTTATATTAGCTCATATAAGGTTAATGAAACAGATTATTCACAAAAATAAATACAATTGTTCATGATAATTATACCTGCTTCAAATAGTCAACAACTTGAAAAACAGTTAAAAATTGAAGATAACTATTTTTTGTTTTCAACCAAATAACAAGACAAATTCTGATCTTATAAACTGGGAAATTTGAAGTTAAAAAATCAGAACAAAAATGTTTGAAAAAACGTCGGAAAATGGAAAAAAAAATGAAAAATTTTACTTAATGGAGGGCTCTTCTATTAGAAGCGCATCTAAACCAAATGAACTAGAATAAAAAAACACTCTTGTGTACTTTTGATCCCTCTCATGACGCGTCCAAAAAGTGTGGTCAAAATTGTGCCGAGGTAAAGAGAAGACATGAAAATTTGTTCAGTCGTCTGCGTGATATGAGCAAACTGAAACGGTAAGTTTTTACCTTAGGTTTGCCAGTAGTATCTCACTAACTTGAATACAATTGCCCGCGGTATGTCCGGGATATCAGGTTCCTGTGATAAAATAGAAGAAAATCAACAAGAAATGTAACAAAATCGGCTTTTTATGAACAAGTTAGAAAGAAACAACAAATAAAAGCTTAAAATTCAAGCAAACTCACTTGAAATCCTTAAAAGAGTGCCTAAAACAACCACGAGCCAAATCCAAGCTCGCAATCACTCAAAACTAAATTCAAACTGTGCGCGCGCCGAGGGGGATAGCGGAGTGTCGTTGCGTGGGTAGAGGGAACCTTTAGAAGGAGTTGGAGGGTAGATGCACCAGGCAACTATACGATACAAACTTGCAACGGTCATCAAAGCCTCCCATTCCCGAAAATAATGCTAAAACAGCCTGTTTGCCGCGCCTCCGGCGCTTCAAACAGCTGGCTGGGGCGCCTTCGGCGCAATTTAACCTATATCTTTTATTATTCGTGGATTCGGTCTTCTGTCTTACTCAAAGGGACACGTAAATATATACTGTATTTCAATTTTTTAAACGTGTGCGAACAAACTGACTGAGAGAGAGAGAGAGAGAGAACAAGATAATGATTATCTGATATGATATTGTTGATGTAAACCGTGTTCGTCTCAAAAATCTTTATTCAAAAACGGCATTCACTAAAGAAAATATCCTTTCTGCCGCTTCTTATCTATTCCAAATAAATCTTGGTTCCCTTTGGCACATATTCACCCATATCCATAATCAAGACAAGACGATGACCTCTGAAAATTTTCAATGTTTCAAAATCTCCAAAAAGTTTTTTTGTGTTTAAAAAAAATATAATTTGCTTACAAATAATAATTGAAACCCACAATTTCGGAATATCGCCAATCGTCAATCCCGAATAACTGGCCGTTTTGATTCTTCGCATTCCCATGGTCACATCCTCTTTCAACAATCCATAGTAGAGGCTCGCTTTCGGAATATACTCCTCCGTGCTTCTTTGTTTTCGAACCAACATTGTCTCAATCGCCGTGATCAGTTTGATGCATGAAAGAGCTTTCAGGTTACAGTAGGTGCTGAAAAGGGGTCGAAATTGAATTTGAAATTTGCAAAAAACCGCTCACTGAGTCATTCCATATTGCTCGGATGGTTCCACAATAATCAAGCGGAGACGGATTGGAGTTTTCGGATTTGGGCGGGACTTGACGGATGGGACAATGGTAAGAGTACCAGCATCAGATGTTGCAGAGTTAGATGAAGTGGGTGCGGAGACTGAGGGACTGGAATAATTTTTGAAGAATAATTTTTTTTACATGGGTGCTGAATCAATAATAAATGTTTTTTTAGATTTGTAATATCTACATACTGAAACATTGAAAATTTATCACAAAGGCGACATATACCATCCCCAGTGGAGAAATGGACTCATTCATAAATACATAAAACTGTTGAAGCAGGCAATTTTGTAGTGTTTTTTTAGAGGAAATACTGTATTTCAGTTTCCATTAAAAGTATCACATAAATATTGATACGTTCCGCACAACGAATAGTCTACTTTTTAAATAACTTGGTTTATCAAAATTCTGAAACCGTGAAAGTTTAGTTAAAGTTCGACATATGCCATTCAAAATGGAAGTTTGTAATTTATTCGTAATTTCAACGTTTTAATCTTGTTAATAAATTCAGTAGATTCTACTCAGGGAATTTCGTCCAATTTGCCGTGAAAGTGGGCTGCCTTGAAAGTGGCCCGCCGTGGTGGGGGCAAGGGCGCCCACGTGGTGGGCAAAAAGCCCAAAACCAGGGCACTTTGCTCACACCATACCGTAGTCATGCCCAAGTCTAGCCCAAAGCAAAAAAAAGAAATATAAAAAATCTGTAAACTATAAAAATGTTAGCGATAATATGCTTAACATTTTATCAGTTGACAAATGTTTGATATCTCTCATAGCAATTAAGATAAGTAAGCTCAAAGAGCCAGTTTTGAATGGATATCTATAAGAAGGAATACGGTAAGAAACTTAAAATTAGAATGCTACCAAAATTCATCAACTGAGATTCTGTTTCAAATTAGTAATATCAAAATGTTGAAACTGTGAAATTTTAGCACAAATGTTTTAATCTGATTTCTCTTACGTCAGTGTCAACCGCGAGCTAGCCGCCGACGCTGGCTTCACGTCGATGCCCAACGAATTCATCTCGGTTGCTTTGGTCCGTTGCTTTCGACAAACATCCTTCTCATAGTTCTTCTTACTCTCCTCACGAGATGTTCCTTTCCAGAAACAGTTCAAAGAACTGCAGCCATTTGTTCCATCCGAATTTTTGACGATTCCATAGCAAGCGTTGCACAGGTAATGATCGCATCTGAAAATTTTTGAATTTTGGTTTATTTTTTGAATTTAGGGAAAATATTTGTTTTGGAATCTTCAAAAATCAAATTTTCGTTTGAAACTCGGAAGATTTATTTTCGATTTTGAAGTCCCGAGAAAATCCTAATTTTTCAATGAAACATCAAAGACTTTTAATTTTTCAGAAACTTTGTAATTGTCCACTTTTTGAGATTTCAATCCAATTGTTTTTTATTTCAGAAAATTTCGATTTTTGAAATTTCATGAAGTTTCTTTCTGTTTCAGAAAGCGACGTTGATTTTATGAGGCTTTCAGTAGTTAATCACATTGAAAATGAACTGGATTCAATTTTATTAATCTTTCAAAATTCCAGTTTTGCAATTTTCAGAAACTTCCATTTTTCCGGTACTTTTCTCATAATTTCGGAACTTTGGATAAAATTTTGTAAAATTTCCATTTTTCAGATTCTTGTAATTTTCCAGTTATATATGTTCCGGTATTTTTCAAATTTTCGAAAAATTCCTTTGGTCGTAAATGAAAAAGCGGAATCATTCCGATGTTTGAAATTTTGAGAAACTCCAACTTTTGAAAAAACAATTTTTCAAAATTTTGATTTTCGCGAATTTCGAAATTTTAGGAAATTTCTTCGCTGTTTCAGGTAGTTTTAATAGTGAAGAAAATCCAAAAATATCTAATCCGTGGCCGTCAACTGAATCCAATTCCTGTAGATTTTCGCAAATTCTTTTTTTTTTTGCAATAAATGTGTCCAAGATCTCAAGTTTTGGAGTTTCGAGAACTTTCCATATTTGAATATTCGTAAAATTCCATATTTCGAAAAACCTCGATTTTTTTTTCGAATTCCAAAAAAAATATTTTGTTGTTTCAAAAAGTTGACTTAATTTTGAATGATGTTTTTCGAAATTCAACCAGAACTCCATTTTGGCAACTGTTTCAAAACTACAATAATTGAACATTCACCCAAAATTTTCAATTATTTTTTCAAAATGTGAATTTTCAAATTTCCGTCTGATCTTACCTCCCAATGGTACTCAACAAGTTTGACTGGAACTCCTTTTTGCACGGACCATCACATCTGGCCGTGACAGGTGTCGGTGGACCGCCTGGATTTTCGAATTGTTATGATTTTTATGAAATTGCTAAAAAAATTTCCGAAAAATTCTCGGTTCCCAAAACTCAAATTATGTTAGCCGATTAAATTTAAACTAGTTGTTATATCATGAACTTTAAAAATTCAATTTTTTTCAAAAAAGTTTTCCTCACCCAAAGAAAGACTAGAAGAGATCTTTCGAGCCAGCTGAGAAGCTTCGCGAATTTTCGAAAACTTGGAATCACAATCCGAATCTCCATCTTCCTCCCAAGAGATAGCGTAGGTGTAGGTGCATCTGAATATTAGTGAGCTACAGTAATCCAACATAACAATTTAATTTTGAAACAAGCTTATTTATTTTTGAAATCTCCACCTTTCTTGCACTAAAAAAACGGAAAAATCAGAAAACAAACAAATATGCTGAAACTGCAAAAAAATGGAAAAATTCCAGGATAATTTCTCAACAAAAAATGGAAAAATCGACTAAAGTAATAGTAAAAAACGCGATTGACAAACTAGGAAAAAAACATCAATTTCTATGGATAACAGCATTATTTTTTTAGAATTGAAAATCTACAGTAACCCCATTATCACTACACTCACTGCAAGGTTGGAGCATCATAGGCGACTCGGAGCTCTGCACTCTTTGGATTTTTACAAACGTCTCTTATGAATCCGGGGATGATTGAAATGATTCCTCCTTCTCCAGAAGACGTTTCATCGGACCCCACACGACATTTTTTGGATTCAGGTTCTGAAGAATCCTGAGGAGTTGGAGCCGAGGGAAGCGTCCAATTTTTGAGACTCAAATTGTCCAAAGAAGCGGCGGCATGAAGATTTTGAGATTCGAAATCGGTCATTTTATTGGAATGTCTTCGAAAAGTGTCTCGATTTGACGAATTGAGAACGATTTTTAATTGGTTGGAAGTCTTTTGAAAATAGTTGGCAAGGCGTTTGAATTCAAAAAAAAAGAAGAATCTACGAAGATAGAAATTAGGAGAAGAGACAAAAAATGAATTTCACGTGAATTTTTTTACAGTTTCGAGCAATTTTTAAAAGCGACCTTTTTTGACACTATTATCTTTACAGCTGATTAGACTTAAAATTAGACTAATAAATTATGATTCTCAAAAATTTAATAATTGAAGGAAGATTTTTCAATATTTTATGTTTCAAATTTAAGACTTCTCACAGTTTTTGAGTTATTTCTCAATGATTAAACTTCATTTCTGGGGTTTTCTTCCAGTTTTAGTTTCCTAAAGACCAACAGAAAAAAATTAAGACACGTTCTCTGTAGAACTCCACTTCAAGCCTATTGTTCACTACAAAAATATTCAAACTTGTTTTTCGGAGTTGATGTTATATGTATCTTTTTGGAAATAATGTTAAAATTGTACACGACGACAGATTTTCAGTCATTTTTGTCGAAATTAGAACAAAAATCAAAATTTCCAGCAAGTACAAACTATTAGGTTTCCGCAAGATAATATGAACTGAATTGAAGTTCCGGCAGCTGTTTCATAATTCTCATAATCAAACGTTTACCCAAAATTTTCAGTAATAAAGTCAAAATTTTGATTTTCAACATTGGAAAGAACTACAGTAATCTGAACATTGGAAAGAACTACAGTAATCCATTCAAAAAAAACTATTAGGTTGGCAGGAAAGTAACTGTCCATTTTTTTATTAGTAATTAACACAAACACAGGAATAATCCAGAATTAGCAATATGCGCCGTCGTGATCCACAACATGTTGGCAATGTTCAGGTAACTTGTGGGTACCATCCCTCCAAAAGCCAGCTAGTGGCAAGTCAAAGTATCCCTCCAGTTCATTTTTTTAGGCATCAATTGTGTTAAAATCCTTAAGCTCCAGATGACGTCGTATACTTTTGAATAACCAATGATCTGATAGAGCTGAATCAAGTCTTTAACGGGGGTAAAGGAGAACCGTCCAGCCAAAGCGGCTCAGGTACGGCGTGACTTTCCGTGAACATGAGGTTTTTTCATTTTTTACCTGCAGTCAAGTCAGACCTGAGAAGCTTCAGTGGGACCGATCTCCCTCACCTACTTATAGTCCCGACTGAGCTCTATCAGATTATTGGATATTCGGAGAGATACAACCTCATCTGGAGAATACGAAAATTTGCACCATTTATGTGAAAAACTGGAAAAATGAATACTTTGATTCGTGGCTAGCTGGATTTTGAAGGTATTGTATCCACAAGTTATCTGAACATTGCCAACATGTCGTGGACCGCGACGGTGCATACTGCTCATCTTGGATTAATCCTGCTTTTGTATTATTCCCAAATAAAACAAGGGACAGTTACTTGCTGCCAACCTAATATGTTTTCAAACGATAGCAAGTAAAAACTATTTTAAATTAAATCTAATCATTATCCCACCGTTTGGACCGTACTTGGTAGGTCCGAGCCAGATGTACATTTTTTGTTTTTTTATTTTTCCGAACCTTAAATTTTTCCGAACCTTTTTTCACGGATATTATGAAATTTTATCACTAAATGTTCAGAAATTCAAAATATTCGATAATTTGAACTTTCAGAAATCTGATTTTTTGCAGTTTCGTAAGTTTCACTTATTTTGGAAGTTTTGAAAGTTCGGTTTTTCGCAATGCTTTCCGCTTATTTTCTCGAAATCTCTAATTTATAATTATTGAATTTATATAAGCTGATAATTTAAACCAATTTTATGTTTCAAAGACGGGATTTTTTGAGTTTGGCGAATTCCACTCTCTTCCAACTTTGAAATTGAACAATTTTTCATGTTTCAAATTCAACATTTTTGTTTTTTTTTCGTTTGAAGGTAAAACACTTACTATTTGAAACAGGGCTGTCCAAAACGGCGGCCGGGCCTCGGCCGGCCTCGAAAAAGCCTCGGCTGAAGAAAAAAGGCCTCGGCGCGCTCCATTGAGAAAAAGCCTCGCGAGGCCTCGGCCGGCCGAAGCCGTCCTCGCAAATGTGACTACGGTCAGCAAGTCGCATATTTTACGACAAGTTGCGTATTTTTTTTTAATTTTTTGTTTTTTCTCGCTCTTTTTCAGCAAATCACGCATTTTTCGAGAGTTTTCTCGATTTTTCCATCGATCTGTGGCGACATGAACATTTCGAACGCCAGTGATGGTCGGTTTAAGCCGATTTATTCATTTGTTATAACCGTTATTCAATTTCAGACACAATTCAGATGCCTCAATGGTTCATTGATCCCAACAAAACCGATTGTGAATTAGTGATAAAGAACAAAAGGGAAGGATTCGGCGGTTTTTATGCTTGTTGAAATTTTTTTTTGTTGAAAAAATTAGTTCTTTTTCAGAAAAAATGCACTGATAAACAGGGATACATGCGAGTGGTTTTTGTTCATCATGCGACCGGCGCAGAGAACGCCGTCAAATTTTTGAAGTGTGAATCTTGCTCGAGCATTATAGGAGATTGATTCTCAAAGAAAAAGATCGATTCGACACAGGCGAGACTTGAAGATTTTGATGCATGAACACAAGGTTTTTTTGTTAATTTTCTTGAAT